GGTGGCGCACACCTTTAATCCCAGCACTCAGGAGGCAGAGGCTGGTGTATCTCTGAGTTCAAGGCCAGCCTGGTCTACAAATAGAGTTCCAGGACAGTCAGGGCTGTTACACAGAGAAACTGTTTCAAAAAAAAAAAAAAAAACAAATCAAAATGAATACCTTCTCACTTCAAGAGGGAAGAACCAGGGCACAGTCACTATCAGATCAAAGCAAAACAAACTCCACCATGTAATAACTCAAGGTCCAGTCATCTGGAATTCACTCACAGTCTTCTGGGCTTCTCCAGGAGGGTTGGGTCACTTCTCCAGCTCTGCCCTCTGCAGCACACACCGTTTTTCCTCTGGGTTCTAGCCCGCTCCTCTGCTGCTTTTGTTTGTGGTGATCATCCCATGGCACTGGCATTTCCCAAACTGCTGGAGTCCTCTGCTACAACTGGGCTGCGCTTTCACCAGTAGCCTCTCTGGGGCGCTCACAGTGCCAAGCCTCAGCTGCTCTCCATGACCCCTTCACGCCTTCAAAACCAGTACCACCTGGGTGACGCTACCCCGTTCAGCTGACAGCACAAGGTACAGCCTTGTCCACTTCTCAACCACAGCTTCTGGGTGCTGCCTCTGAGGGAGCACTTCCCAGAAGGCTTTTCCTCAGTGATGCTGATCTCTTCTTAATCACCGCTAATTTCTTAGCTCCAGCAAGTCAGCACCAACTGACCCAGTAACACAAAGATTGCACTTCAGAGGTGCCGGTCTCTTGTTAATCATGCTGACTCTTCAGCCCCAGCTGACCAGAATGACAGACTCTGAATTCAAAATAGCAAACAGCCCTGATAGAGTCTTTACACATTATAACATAGTAAAAATGACAATCTTACCAAAAGCAATCTACAGATTCAATGCAAACCCCATCAAAATCCCAACACAATTCTTCACAGACTTGGAAAGAACAATAGTCAACTTCATATGGAAAAACAAAAAACCCAGGATAGCTGAAAGAATCATGTATACTAAAGTAACATCTGGAGCCATCACCATCCCTGACCTCAAGCTCTACTATAGAGCTATAGTAATAAAAACAGCTTGGTACCGGTATAAAATTCGACATACGGACCAAAATGGAATCAAATTGAAGACCCAGACATTAATCCACATACATATGAACACCTGATTTTTGACAACCCAAAAGTATACAATGAAAAAAAGAAAGTGTCTTCAACAAATGGTGCTGGCATAACTGGATGTCAACATGTAAAAGGTTACAAATAGATCCATATCTGTCGCCATGCACAAAACTCAAGTCCAAGTGGATCAAAGACCTCAACATAAATCCAGTTACACTCACTTGATAGAAGAGAAAGTAGGAAGTACTCTTGAACACATTGGCACAGGAGATCACTTCCTAAATATAACACCAGCAGCACAGACACTGAGAGCAACAATTAATAAAAGGAACCTCTTGAAACTGAGAAGCTTCAAGAGCAAAAGACATGGTCAATAAGACAGAAAGACAGCCTACAGAATGGGAAAAGACCTTCACCAACACCACATCTGACAGAGGGCTGACCTCCAAAGTATATAAAGAACTCAAGAAACTAGACATCAAAATACTGAACAATCCAATTTAAAAATGGGCTAAAGAGCTAAACAGAGAATTCTCAAAAAAAGAACCTCAAATGGCTGAAAGACATTTAAGGAAATGTTCAACATCCTTAGTCATCTGAGAAATGCAAATCAAAACGACTCTGAGATACCACCTTACACCTGTCAGAATGGCTATGATGAAAAACACTAATGACAGTCTATGCTGGAGAGGATGCAGAGCAAAGGGAAACACTCCTCCACTGTTGGTGGGAGTGCAAACTTGTACAACCACTGTGGAAATCAGTATGGCGGTTTCTCAGAAAATTCGGAATCGATCTACCTCAAGACCCTGCCATACCACTCTTGGACATATACCCAAGGAATGCTCAATCATACCACAAAGATACATGCTCAACTCTGTTCATTGCAGCATTATTCATAATAGCTAGAACCAGGAAACGACCTAGATGCCCATCAACTGAAGAATGGATTTTTTTAAATGTGGTCCATACACACAATGGAGTACTACTCAGCAGAGAAAAGCAATGACATCATGAAATTTGCAGGCAAATGGATGGAACTAGAAAATATCATCCTGAGTGAGGTAACCCAAACCCAGAAGGATAAACATGGTATGTACTCACTCATAAGTGGTTACTAGATATAAAGCAAAGAACAATCAGACTGCAACCCACAGAACCAGGGAGGCTACATAGCAGGGGGGACCCTAGGATGACTGTGGCTTATAATAAGTTTTGGTTTTACTCAATCACTGGGCAAGCTTCAGTGAAACATTTTATTATTAGGATAAGAATTTGTACTGTATCAAGCTGATAACAGAAAAAATAAAATAAAATAATAAAAAAAGAATAAAGAAAAGAAAAAAAGAAATGAATGACCCCAGGACAAACCCTACAGGGATCTCCCTGCAATTCACCAAAAGCTCTGAGAATCTGGCCTCCTTCAAAAAGGGGTGGTTCATCATAGCAAATTCATCCCATTGACTCAAGGCTTGAATAATCTGTCGACTCCATCTTCTGTCACATGGGTGCTTCAGTGGGGCCTGCAGGCTCTTGTTGTGTCCTGAATTATTATGGAAATAACTTATGAAGTTACTGAAATGACTATGGAACATTCAGACAGCCTTGAACTTTCACAAAAACACTCATTGTTGGTATTCTGATCCTGCTCCTGGGGGCTGCCCTGCGTCCTGAGATAAAAGCCTCTTCTTAAGGAAAAACTCCACCCATTTCTCTCTCTCTTCTCTCCCTTCGCTCCCATGAGCTGTGCACCCCTCGACCCCTCTCTTTTTCTCTCTCTCTTTCTCTCTTCTTTCCTATCTTCTCTTCGTCTCTCTATTATAATGAACCATTTCCGGGAGGATGTAGCATCTGGGTTGTGAATGTGTACCCACCATGCCATGCACACATGAAGTGGGGTGGCCTGCCAGCCCACAGCTGCATCTGCCCAGCCTTTTTCCCTGTCTGAATGTTTGTGTGAGTGTGGGTGTGTGTCAGTGTGTGCATGAATGTGTGAGTGTGTGTGAGTCTTTCTGTGTGTGTATGTTCATGTGGGTGTGTATGAGTATGTGTGTGTGTGTATATATGAGTATGTGGGACTATGTGAGTGTGTGGGGTGTGTGTGGGTATGTGTGTGAGTGTTAGTGAGACTGTAAAACTGTGAGTGAGTGTGCATGAGTGTGTGGGTATGTATGAGAGTGTTTGAGTGTGTGTATGAGAGTGTGTGTGAGTTGTGTGTGAGTGTGTTTGAGTATGTGTATGAATGTGCATTTGAGGGTGTGAGTGTGTGTGACAGTGTGTGTGTATGAGAGTGTTAGTGTGTGTATGTTTGTGGGTGGGTGTGAGTGTGTATGACTCTTGTGTGTGTGATAGAGTGTGTGTCTCTGTGTGAGTATATGTGAATATCCAGTGTGTGGGGGTATGAGTGTGTGAGTGTGTGTGTGACTGTGGGTGAATGGGTGGGTATGAGTGTGTGGGGGACTATGTGAGTGTGTGTGGGTGAGTGTGTGTATATGTGGTTGTGTGTGAGTGTGTGTGAGTGTGGAGGGGTGAGTGTGTGTGTGAGTATGTGTGTGAGTGTATGTGTGTGTGAGTGAGTGAGAGTGTACGTATGAAGAGTGGGGGGCTTGTAACAGTGAGAGGGTGTGAGTCTGTGTCAGGAGGAGGGTATATGTGTATGTAAGTGTGTGACAGTGTGTGTGTAAGAGAGTGTGTTTGTGAACGTGTGTGTTTGTGTGTAAGAGTGTGTGTGATGGTGCGAGAGTATGTGTTTGTGAGTGTATGTAAGATTGTGTGTGAGTAAGTGTGTGATGTGTGTGTGTGAGTGTGTGCACGTGCATGGACTTGCCTGGCCTTGCACTGGGAGTCCAGAGATCAGTGCTCCTGTTCACATTAGACTGAGGTTGTGCACAGCTGCAGCTCACAGAGCTGGTGTGCTCTGCTCTGCTGAGCTGCTCCATCTCCTCCCACCCAGGACAGAGTGAAGAACTCACTAGTGTTCTGTTTACACACCGGGGCTCAGAACAGAGAGCAACCACTGACACGCAGGTGTGTGAACAGACTCAGCCATACTGATGGATTCCCCCCCACACACCCGGTAACTGCTTCCCAGTTCTCTCTGACGCCCTTATCACACATGGAAAGACCATCAGGCACAAAGTGTGTTCAAACGACACTCAGCTTTATTCAATCAAAACTCCATGAACACAAATGTAAGATTCACACTTCACAGAACAATTGATTCCAAGTTTCACATGTGAAATAGATTGTTGTACATTTGTTGTATTGTTGTACACGAGATACTATTAAGTCTACACTAATAGTAAAAATGAAATGTGTACACCAATGACAAAACATTTAATTTAGCTTCATATATACAAGCTATACATGTAATAGCTTTAAATTGAGTATTTGTGAATAAACAGTTCAGCACAGCACTCAGAAGGGTGAGTCTTATGTTCACGACGGCCTGGGTTCAATCTGCACATTCGCCATGACAGTCACTTCACGTCCAAGAATAAAACAGATCCCCTTAGTCCAGGCAGAAAGTGTCTTGAAATGTCTGTGAAACTTTTGCCGATACTCCTGGATGGCCCAAGTCCTGGGTCCCTCGGTCACAGATTCACAATCCTTTGACACTCCTGCAGTGCCCCACATGAGTGACAGACAACCAGCCTGACTCACAGACAGGCAGTCGGATTGGCATTGCTTTCAGAAATCAATAGTTCAAACAAGCAGTTGAGAATTAAACATTAAAAAGCTCAGGGAAAGAGCTGCTGCCAATTAGCTAACACTTGTGAACAAGAGCAGCAAAATTGAGAAGCCATGAAAAAAAGAAATGAAGAATCCAACATTGACATGAGTCACAAAATCTTTATAGCAGCATGCTTGTGAGCATGTTTGGTTTCGCTGGTCAAATAGTTTATAACTTGTGGGAGTACAAATATTTATAGATTGCATCAGATGCAGCTCTCCCTTGCTCCAAGTTAGCACTACAGGGAGGGAAGTGGGGCAACACCCATTCTTACTCACCCTGTCTGAAGTACGTGAAGACGTACAGTCCGTGAAAGAATCCAGAGCAGCCTCAGCAGCCAGGATTTGCCGCTAGAGTAAGCGCTTATGCAGGATTTCCCACACCATCTTCTTCCGGAACAGAGGCATGTGCTGCTGAGAGAAGGTGAGGGGTTGGCCTCTGGAAATATAATCTGCATATTTACAGGTAAACATTCCACAATCGTTCCCATCCCGCTGCTGAGGAATCTCCTCTGCTGGCATGCTGTATTGCCTCCACTCCAAAGGGTTCAGATCAATATTCCTTCGGGCTTTGCTCTCATCCTGCAGGTAGTGGAAAATCATCTTGAGGACATCTGGTCTTTTCTGTCCCATCGAATCCAGATAGACAATATGCTTCTTTCTTAGGTCTACTACCACCAGGCTCCAGTGCACATCCAGGTGAATCGGCACCAGAATAAGTTCCTTGACAAAGAGGTTTACTGCCTGGGTCCATCTTTTGACTGACCTGTAGCCCCCACACTTTAATTTAGTGTAAAAGAAGGTATTGAATGCATGAACTGATGGGTATCCTTCATTTTGGTTTCTCTCCATGAGAAGATTCATGTAAAAATTGATGACTTCATCGTTGAGCCACTGGGTCTCCTTTAGTGTCTGCATGTCTCCTCGAGTAATTCGCAGTTTGAAGGCACAACTCAAGATCTCATCTTCTGGCCCTGGGCCTAATGCACTCCTAATTTCCTTTTCCATGTCTGCTGTGACATCGGGGCCATGGTTCAGTCCTCTGCCCATCTCTTGATGGGCAAGAGCCTTTCCCTTGGCCTCAGGTATTGGGATTTTGTTGTTGAGAATGTCATTGCTGACACTGTCTATGAAGATTTGGACCTGGGCTCCTCCCAGAAAGTCTGGCTGGGGGTGGTGTCCCCTGATGTCATTGTTGAGGTTTGTTCCAACTATCTCTTCTGTATTAGAAATTTTCTCCTCTGAAGACCTCTTCTCACTGTTCACTGGTGACTGATCTTCTCTCGTGACAGCACAGGCAGATTGTGCTGGCTCAGAGTGAGTTGGTTCAGATCTGTGAATCTGTCCCTCCACACGGCCCTTGATCATCTTCGAGGTGTCCACAGGGCTCGTGTGAGCACTGTGAGGGTCAGAGCTCACATGATCACCGGTTTGAAGGTGTTCCAACAGCCTTCGGTACTTGTGGTGTTCCTGAACACCTTCCTCTGTGTTGCAGTAGGAACGTTTGTGACCCTTCCCACCATCCACAGACTTCACCTCAGTCACGGCCTCATCCTGAGAGCCTTTGGCACACTCTCGGGGCTTTAGCTGTGATCGATCCCTTTCCTGGGGTTTCTGTATCTGACCCTTGTCGGGTTCTTCACACCCAAGCTCAATTTCACCCTGTTCCTGTTTCACCCTCCTCCTAGGCTCAGCTGGCTCTTGAGTCTGTACAAGGGTTCCCCACTCTTCCTGCCGTTTCCTCTTTTGCCCTTTCCGGGGATGTTCAAGGCTCATCGTTCCACACTGTTGACATACAGAGGGACTACCTGTATTGCCTTTGCTCAGGTGTCTGCTGTCTGCTGTGGTATAGCCTTCTGGATTCCAAGTCCAAGTGCAGGTCGGCCCGAGGCTCTGTGGGTGCTCTTGGGTTGTTGTCTGGTTGTTGGTTGAAGGATCACTTAGTCCACTCGGTGTTTTATCAAAACTGAACATGTTGGTCCAAGGTCAGAAACTGCAGGATAAAAAATGCTCCTTTGGAATATGAAGACAGATGGAGAGGGACAGTATCAAAGAGTACTTCTCTCTTGGAGAATCAATCAATTTAATCTTGTCTTTAAGGTGGCGATTCACCAGTCCCAGCGTAAAAAAACAAAAAAGGAAACAAACAAACAAACAGAAAATCCAAAAACTTTGTAGTTCCGGCTCTGCCTTTTGTGTTGGGGACTTCAAGACACAATGAGCCTCTGTAGACCCCAAAATTGTGGAAATCACAGTGAATGTGGGAGACAATCGCCCAAAGAAACCAGACTGTGGGATCGCAACCAATGCACTGGAGGTAAGACTTCTGTCTCCTTCAGCTGTTGCCTTGGCTCTGGCCTACGAGGTTGCACTGCTGCTTATATACAGTTTGACGCATTCTTGAGTTGAGGCCCCGCCCATTATCATCATCCGGATCAAGGGTCTTACAGTTTATTTCCATCCTTGGACTTCCTATTGGTCTGTGCTGGCTGAAGAACACTTAATCAGAACTCAGGAGGGCAGAAGTGTAGCTCTGTCCTCAGAACTGGCAAACTACTGGGAAAAACAGTAGATTCACTACATTTCACAGTTCTGAAGTCTAAAGTCTAGGAGAGAGGGTTGGATCCTTGGAAATATTTATGCATATCTCCTTTCCCCTCTGCTGAACAGAGTAAGGTCAGGCTCAAGATGGATCTAGGTTTGTGGTTTGTTTTGGCAAAAGTGTAGCTCAGACATTGCATGCCTGTATATGCAGAATATAGGAGCCAATACAAAATCCACCTTACTCTCTCTTTCTAGCCCTTCAGGAAATAACACTGGGTGAAGGTGAATCTTGGCCAGCTCCACCCTGAGTGATCAAATATCAGTGAAAGCTAAGGTGATAAACTTTGGATTTGTTGGGCACTGAGATGTGAGGGATATTTGTTGTCTTTTCATAACTATGGTAGTTTGAAAGAAAATGGTCCCCAAAGGGAGGGGCACTATTAGGAGGTGTGGCCTTGTTGGAAGAAGTGTGTGACTATGTGGGTGTGCTTTGGGGTCTTTTTTTAAACTTCACTCAGTGTGACTATCAATTGACTTCCTGTTGCCTGACTATCAAGATGTAGGATTCTCAGCTACAGCTCCACATCTGTCTCCATGCCACCATGCTACAGGTCATGATGATAATGAACTGAACCTCTGAAACTGTAAGTGAGCCATCTCAATTCAATGTTTTCTTTAGTAGAGTTCCGATGGTTGTGGTGTCTCTTCACAGCAATAGAAACCCTGACCAAGACAAGTATCTCTCCCTTTCCATGACCCTTGACTCTTACGGAAGAGTCTCCTCTTCTGTCTAATGTGTTTACTGGTAGAAAACAAAATAGAATTACTCTTCCATGACTTGGAGTCCAGTGTTTCTAGCATTAGTAAATGAAACTCATCTGAAAGGGACATTTACACAGGGACGTTGTGGCTCTTATCAATATGCTTAGTAATTACTAAAGAAGTTACAGCTGTGAGACCTGGTTCACATGCACTAATCAAGAACCATATCCTGCCTCTCCTGCTGTTTTTCAGGAGTCTTGATTTGAACATGAGCAAGTCATGCTCCAGAGCATATTTTCAACCATTGTATCCAACTTCAACCCATCAGTAAACACTAGATCAATAACCATCAGTACAGTCTATTCTTTATTATTTTGTTTTTTTGAGACAATTTCTTTGTGTAACAATCCTGGCTGTCCTGGAACTCACAGAGATCCACCTGCCTCTGCCCTCCGAGTGCTGGGATTAAAGGCGTGTGCCAACACTGCCTGCCTCCATGTTTTGTATTTTATGATGGGGTTGGGACACAGAATCAGGACCTTGTGTTTACAAGGGAAGCACTTCGCAACCCAGCTCTTTCTACAGCCCGAGGCTCACTCTTCTTTGTTGTTCTGGGCAAGAAAATAGCAATAATACGAGGGGCTTGAGAGCTCACTCAGTGGTTAAGAGCACTTCTTTTGTAAGCTTGAAGATCTGAGTTTGATTCCACAGCACCCATGGAACAAGTCAGGCATGGCTGAACACACATGTAAGCCCCATATTGGGAACCGAGACAGATGGACCCTGAGAGCTAGCTGGGCCGTCACCCTCCCCAAAATGGCGTGCCTGGCTTTAGACAGTCAGGTGGACAGCACCTGAGAAAAACACATGAGGTTCTCCTCTAGTGTTTGCATGCAAATCTACACACACACGTGCGCGCGCGCGCGCACACACACACACACACCTGCATCCTCATAATTATTCGTGCACACACACTCACATCCTCGGAGTCTGACTTTCCTTCCAAATTGGGCTAGGCCCTATCCAAAGAGACTGATCCATGAAGAGAGGGCAGACACCAAGAGAGGCCGGTTTTGGCAAGAGAGCTTTCTTGGTGTCCCCCAAGGCACACCGCACAGGCAGGTCCTTGCTTTGTTTCCCTTGTCTCATGCCACTTCTGGTCGTGCCCCTTTTGGGCAGACCCATCCCATCCTCCTGAAGACTGTCTGCCTTGGCGCAGTAGTACAGCAAGGTAGCAGCACTAGAAGAAGCAGGAAGAGGGGACCCCAGCTGAGGAAACTGGGGTCCGATATCTCCCTGGTATCCCAAGGGAATGTTCCCCTGCCAGGACAGACTGTGACTCCTGCTACTGAATAAGATTTCATCAGGACCCCCTAGGCTTACTGAATCAGGGTCCCCTAGGTGCTGTATTAGTCAGAGTTCCCTAACTAACAGAACATATAGAATGAATATGTGTATATGGGGTTTATTAGAATGACTTACAAACTTCAGTCCAGCTAGTCCAACCATGACTACCCTATGATTGGAAGGTCTAAGAATCCACTGGTTTTTCAGTTCACAAGGCTGCATGCTGGAGTCCTAAAGAAGTCAGCTCTAACACCAGAGAAGGAAGGCCTCAGTAAGAGGATAGATCAACCTGCCAGAGAGAGGGAGAGTAAGCAGGCAACAGGCATAGGCAAGATTCCAAGGTGTTTCCATTATTTAGGGTGGGTCTTCCTACCTCATATGACCCACTTTTACGGCAAGCCTTCCCATCTTAAATGATTCAATCAAGAAAAATCCCCCTCCCTCTGGATGTGGTCAGCACCATGTAGAGCAAACCAATTAGTTGCCCAGTGTCAAATGGTCAGCCCTGAAAGCATACAAACAAGCAATATTATATGGACTGAGCAGGTTATCCTGCTCAGTGTGTGTGTGTGTGTGTGTGTGTGTGTGTGTGTGTGTGTGTGTGTGTGTGTATCTGCATGTCATAACAATCAATGGAAGAAGAGACCATGAAATTGAAGGAGAGTGGGGAGTGGGGTAAATGTGAGGATTTGTTGGGAGGTGTGCCTACCTGTTTGAGTTGATTCCAGATGTAGTCAAGTTGACAAACAAGATTACCCATCATATATGATAGGTGCACACAATGGAAGATTTTTTTTCATGCAAAGAAAAATTATGGCTAAACATGGGGACAGTATGCCAAGTGAAATAAACCTGATAAATATTATATTATCTCACTTAAAGAGTTGTTAAAAAAAAATCCCAGTCTCATGCAAATGAAGACTACAATAATGGTTGCCCAGGTTTGGGGCAGGAACAAGAGGAGGAGATGATGGTCAGGTCTGCACACTTGATGAAGGTCTACCAGGAAGGTGTCACACTGCAGGGTAACTATGGTGAATAAAGCTGTATCGGAGGGGCCCTTCGGGTCATATAACCCAGCACATAGACAGCACCACCTGCCAGAATGAAAATAAAGACCTAATCAAAGTCCACAATTTTGGGAAATTCTCTAAATGTGCTAACCTTGCTTTTCAGCTTCTGGAGTTTGCTTCTGGCTAACTGTTCTTGTTAACTGAATATGGCAACCTAGGATTTTTTTTGGATGTTTTTATTGATTATTTGGAAATTTCACATACTACACCATGCTCACACTCACTTTCCAGTCTTCTCAGGTCTACCCCTCATCCTTGTGACCTCCCCCAAAACAAAAGAAGAAAAAGAAAAGAAAGAAAAAAATACCCGGTCCAGTTTGTGCTGCTCATTTCCTCACTGGGGCGTGGTCTAACTCCCAATGGCCAGCCCCTTAAAGACAGCTAATCCTTGGACTGTGAAGAGCTACACCAGCCTCCTTCTCACGGTTTTTAGGAGTTCTCTTCAATGGCTTCCTGTCTAGGCTGGTTCTCTTTCTTGTGGGGGAAGGTTGTCATAGAAACCGTCTATGTCTCCCAACTGTGAGTCTGCACTCATTGGTACCACTGCAAAAGAAGCTTCCTGGCCTTTTATAATCAAGGGCAGCACAGATCATGGACCTCCCCATGGTTTCTGGCTATTCACTGAGCAGAGTACTGAACCTGAAAGACAAAATGAAGAATTGTGAAGATACAAGGGAGGGACAAGCCACACCCTGAAGATAGGCATGTGGCACTTGTAACTTCAGCTCTCACCTTTACCTGTCTGCTCTGTCCTGTACCATTCATGTGAAATATCTTCTGGCCCCGTTACCTCTCTTATATCTAAATTCATTCATTATAAAAGCAGCCAGTGGAGCTAGAGAAGTTGCTCAGTGGTTAAAAGCATTTGGTGCTCTTTCTGGAGACTCAAGTTCAAATCCCAGAACCTACAACTTCCGGGGATCTGTTGGCCTCTTTTCATTTTTTAAATTTAGTTCATTAGTTAGTTTATGTATTTGAGTGCTCTATCTGCATGTATGACTTTATGCCAGAAGAAGGCATCAGATCCCACTGTAGATGGTTGTGAGCCACCATGTAGTTGCCAAGAATTGAACTCAGGACCTCTGGAAGAGCAGCCAGTACTTTTAACCACTGAGCCATCTCTCCAGTCCAACCTGGTGTCCTCTTATGGTTTCTGCGGTCACCAGGCATGCATGTGGTGCACAGACACACATGCAGGCAAAACACCCATACACATAAACTAAAACATTTAAAGCCAGTGTGGTGGCATTGTGCCTTTAATCTCAGCACTCGGGAGGCAGAGGCAGGTGGATCTCTGTGAGTTTGAGGCCAGCCTGGTCTGCAAAGTGAGTTTCAAGATACCCAACATGTTTGTCCACAGAAACCCTATCTCAAAAGAAAGAAAGGAAGGAAGAAAGGAAGGAAGGAAGAAAAACAATTTTTTAAAATGTTAAAGTAGGCAACAGTCCCTTCCTGTTTCATTATGACTTGCAGTATTCAACAAACAAGCAAA